GCCCAGGGTCTTGATGGCCTGCGAGCGCACCTGGCTGTCGATGATGTCGGCCTGCTCGACCAGCTTGATCACGGCCGGGATGATGAGGTGCAGGTAGTCGTCCAGGTTGGTGCCTAGCACCTCGAGCGCGTGCAGGATGTTCTGCACCGGGCTCCGCTCCTTCGTGCGATCCGTGTGGAGCACGTTCAGCATCTGCGGGATCAGCTCCGGCAGGTAAACTGCGCACCACCGCCGTCGTGCCACACACACACACACACGCACACACCACCGCACACGCACACGCACACGCACACAATCAGTTCCCTGCCCGCACACGTACGAACAGACGCGAGCAAGAAAAGGTGGAGGCGTACCCTTGAACTCGTCGTTGAGAGCCTGCGAAAGGACCTCGACCAGGGTGATGATCTGGTCCAGCATCGACGTGTTCCAGTACTCCTTGATCAGCGCGAAGATGTCCTCGAGATAGTCCTGCAATGGGAAAGAGGCGGCGTTGAGTTAATCCTCCGGTTGGTCGGGGCTGAGGTCAGCAAAAAAATCCCCGGTTGGTCGCTTGGGCTGTGGGGTACCCGGATGTGCTGCTTGACGATGGCGACCAGGAGGCCCAGCTGCTTGAAGAGGAATTTGAGGAGGATCGTCTCCTTGGTCCGCATGCACTGCAGGAAGGGCGGCATGATCTGCGGCAGGAACGGAATGCACTTCAGGCCCAGCGACTTGAAGATGAACATCACCGCCTGCACCACCGTGTTGTGGTGCTGTCGCCCAAACAAGATCGATAACAAGTCAGCATCATCATCGCGTACGTGTGTGTCGTGTGTGGTGTGCGTGTCGTGTGCGTGTGTCGTGTGTGTGTGTGTCGTGTGTCGTGTGTCGTGTGTGTGCCGTGTGCGGTCGAACCTGAGACAGGGAGGGGTCGCGCAGGATCTTCATGAGGGCGTTGATGGAGACGGTCAGGTAGTAGTCCTCCGAGGCCATGCCTGACATGGAGTCGGCGGGGACCGGGTTGGCCGGCCCGCCGGTGCTGGCCTCGTCGCTCTTCTTCTTGCGCACCTCCATTTGGATGGTCTTGTGCTTGTAGGGGTCGAGCGCGCCCAGGATGCCCAGCACCTTGACCACTTCCTGCCGCACCGACGAGCCCTGCTCCGTCTTGATCTCGTTGATGAGAATGTCCAGCAGCTTCGGGTACTTGATGAACGGCTCGATCACATAACCTACGACACACGACACGACACGACACACGACACACGACACACGACACACACGGGTGGGCACGCGGAATGTGAGGTGGTGATGGTGGGTACCTGCGCTCTCGGCGAGCTGGCCGAGGGTGCGGAGGGCGACCTCGCGCTTGACGACGGAGCTCTGGTCCTGGAGGGTGTCGATGATGAGGGGCAGCAGCTGGGGGATGTGCGGCCGCATGTCCTCGCCGCCCACGATCGCCAGCTCGCCCAGGGTGGCCAGCACGCACGAGGCCACGCGCGGGTTGGAGTCCTTTAGCTTGGGCAGCAGCGCGGTGAGGATGGGCTCGACGTAGGGCTTGATCAGCCGCTGCGACGGGCGGATCAGGTGACCCAGCAGCCGCGCGCTCTCCTCCTTGTTACGGCTGTCGCCGCTGAACTCTGCATTTACCACCACACCCCACACGACACACACGACACGACACACACGACACGGCACACGACACACGCGACACGACATACGACACACACGACACACACGACACACGATCAGTCGCCGCGCGTTAATGGGAAGAAGCGAAGGGAGGGGCGAATGGAGGGTACCGAGCTCGGTGAGGAGTTGGATGAGGGTCTTGCGGAGCGAGGGCATGACGTAGGCGGGGTTGCGGACCGTGAGCCGGCCGATGGTGAGGATGGCCAGCTCGCGGATCTCGAACACCTCGTCGTTGAGGGCGATGAAGAGCGATCGCAGGTTCTCGGCCTGGGCGAGGTGGTGGTCGAACCGAGCGTCGAGGCACGACAGCACAGTCTTGCGGATGGACGGGTCGGGATCGGCGATGCCCACGTTGAGCAGCCTCTCGAGCACCTCGCCGATGACCACCGCCAGGTAGCCTCGCGTGGGCGCGTGCTTGTTGGAGCGCACCAGCAGGCTGCTGCACGTAAGCGCCGCGGCCTTACGGATCGCACTATTGGAAACACGACACGACACGCACACAACGCACGACACGACACACGACACGACACATGACACGACACACGACAAACACGGGAGGGAGTCAGAGAATGTGTGAGGAGAGCGGCGGCGCCGACGACGTACGGGTCTTCGTCGTCGAGATAGCCGACGACGGTCTCGCGCACGAACTCGGTCAGGAGCTTTTCCTGCAGGTTGAACGAGCCCAGCGTCCTCAGCGCCAGCTGGATGGCCGCCGACTTGTCGGCAAAAGTCTGACATGACAGACAAGCAAAGAAACACGCGTAAGTGCAATTCGAGAAAAGAAAAAGAAATGAAACAATGTTCTTGTTTTGGTGCGTACCGGCTGGGCGCTGAGGCCGGGCGCGGCCTGGAGGTTGACCATCTTGCGGAACTTGGCGGCGCGGTTGCCCGGGTGCAGGAAGGGCTTGCCGGCGAGCACCATCGAGAGGTGGTCCATGAGCTTGTCCTGGATGTGGGGCAGCATCGAGGGCATGTTGATGGCCAGCTCGGCCAGGGCCTCGGTCAGCGTCGGGCTCAGTCCGCCCGAAAACATCAAATCTGCAATCGTCGTGTATGCGTGTGTCGTGTGTCGTGTGCGGTGTGTGCGGTGTGTGCGGTGTACGGTTAGAGGAGCTATGACAGAACCGCAAAAGAATAGTTGTGTGCCACGTACCGAGGATCTCGTGGATGTCCTTCTGCAGGGCCGGGCCGACGACCGAGCTGAGCATGCTCACGCAGGTGAGCGCCTGGAGGCAGTAGCCCTTGGTCTTGACGTTCAGCGCGTTCTTGAGGATGGCGATGAGCTGGTCCAGGTAGGGCTTGATGTGGGTGCCGACGGCGCGCGAGATCTCGCCCAACGCGATGAACGCGCTCGGCCGCTCCTCGCTCTTGCCGTCCTTCTTCAGCACGTTGAGCAGCGTTTGCATGCTCATGTTCAGATAACTCACCACGAACTGTGCTCGCGGATTGGTTCGGATTTAAAAATAAACATATAAAATAGAGTGGAGTGCAGTGGTTGGTTAGCGTCTCGCTGCGGAGTCAAAAACAAGCTGCTGCGCCTCCTTAAAGGAAGGGTGGTAGCCAGCCGTACGTACCTCCTCCGAGGCGAACGTGGCCAGGCGAGGCAGGAGCGTGATGACGGTCCGCTTGATGATCTTCTCCTTGTGGTCCCTGTACCGTAGGATCGTCTCGCACACCTCTTTGAAATATTTGTTCATGAAATCGCCCGTGTTCCTCAGAAGCTCGCCTGCGCCAAGAAGAAGAATGAATAAAAGGAATAGAAGAAGAAGAAGAAGAAGAAGAAGAAGAAGGTCAGTGGACGGCCGGCCGAGGAAACGGCTGGCATCCCCCTTGGGCTTTGAGGGGAGAGGGGGCGACGGGTACCGAGGGTGATGAGAGAGCCGTGGATGGTGGGGACAGTGTTCAGGCGCAGGCCCTTCTGTGCCTCCTCGTAGATCTTGTGGTACCACTGCAGCCGCAGCCGGTTCTCTCGCTCGGAGATCAGGGCCAGCGCGGCGTGCAGCGCATCGACGGCCCCCTCTCGGATGGACGCGTTCGTGTCGTGCAAAGCCAACCTGGCAGCCGAGCGCACGCCACAGCCACCATCGCGTGAGTGCCGTGCGCACACGCACACGCGCCACCCACCGCACACAACACACATGACACACGTCCAAGGGGTGACGGTAGTACCAGACGAGGTCAAAGAAGGACGAGACGTGCACGTAGAACAGGGTGGGCGCGTTCTCGGCCAGCTCCTTGAGTACGAGGACGGCAGCGTAGCGCCGCGACTGGTGCGTGGCGTCCTGCAGCCACTCGAGCGCGCGCTTGACCTCGAACTCGACCACGAACACAGCCGTCAGGGTACCGCTGGCCTGCGCCAGGCGACCTGTGCGGATCTGCTGTGAGTCGCAGAGATCATGAAGCGGGTGGGTGTGGATGGGTGGGTGGGTGGATGGGTGGGTGCTCACCGAGGGCTTTGGCGGCCATGGTCATGACGGTGGGGTCGTTGGACTGAAGGCCGAGTCGGAGGTAGTTCGCCAGGCGGGTCGTCTTGGCGTTCTCGTCGTGCTCGATGTCGATGAGCTTGTCTGGTTTATGTGCACAAAGAAGGGAGAGAGAGAGAGGAAGAGAGGAAGAGAGATACAACACGTGGGTCAAGCTGCACGAGGAGAAAGAGAGTGAGGAGGCGTAAAGGGAGGGGGTACCGATGGCCATGATGCCTCCGATCTTCTCGTGCACGACTGGACTATTTACAAGCTCGAAGATGTGTTTGTTTGTGAGCTCGCTCATGAAGCGCGTGAAGTACTCGCTCGACATCTCGCGAGCTTGCGTCACCACCTGGCAGAGCAAGGAGTGCAATAATTCATTAATTCATTCAATTTAAATTGATGTTATTGTTTTAAAGGCGCGGCATGGCTGGGAGATGCAAAATGGCGGAAGTGTGTACATGATTTTTGAGCTTCTTTGATGCCTTGGTTCGAATCTCAGGATTCCTGCGTACCCACGCATTGGTAATTTTAAATTAGATAAAAAACCCAAGGGACTGGCCGGCCAGAGAGGGGTATTACTTGTTCTTGAGTTCGGAGAGCAGCTTGTGGAGCACGGCATCGCTCCAGGCCGCCTGCTCCCCCTCCCCCTTCTTCAATTTATCCGCCATTAGCTAAGCCCGAGCGACTGGATCGCCTCGGCTCTCGTTAATCTTACTTTTCCTCTCGCAAGCACGCCAACTATGCAGCCCATTTCCATTTCATTTTTTGCATTCCATAAAATAACGTTCACAATTACCGTAGAACGTCAACGCATAACGACTTTATCGAAATCGATTTAATATTCGATCACGCGAACGATTTGGAATGGAAGAGGGCCTCTCGCCTCGGCTGGGGTCGGCCCACTCGGCCGCCGTGGGCTCGCCGCGAAGCCATGGTGCCAAGGACTACAGAGAAGAGATTCGCAACAAGAGGCAATTGACAGTTATCCCTGAGCTGCATGCCCAGGAATCGCTCGACGCATTGCCCATTCGAATGAGCGAAGCCTGCACCTTGCGACGCACGCGTCCCAATTCCAACAACCCCGCCCCCTACACAATCGTTCGTACCCGCTACAAAGTTGCATTTATTATTTATTATTATTTGTTTATTGCGTTTATTATTTGTTTGTTTCTTATTTTATGCCTTATTTGGCGTGGCTAGACCATTGTTGGGCCGAACGACGGGTCGGAGGCCGAGCTGGTGAGCGCGTTCGTAAACAGCGATGGCGCGCCCCAGCTCGACGCGTCGCCACGCTCGCACCGAGGCGCCAAGGAAAGCGGCGGCGACGGCGCGAGCCAGGAGGCGATGGACCTCTACCTGTCCTCGTGGAAGAAGAAGTTCAACTTTGCCGGTACCTGCTCTACTACTCTCCGCACACTCGCGCACCTCTCAGCGGTCATGATCGCTACTGCTCTCGCAGAGCAATGATCACCACGGCGTTCATCATCATCATCATCATCGATTGATTGTTTGATTGTTTGATTGAGTGATTGCTTTCCTCTCCATCAGGCAAGGAGTACTTGCTGGAGTTGCACGCGGGCCTTCATACGCAGGCGGAGACCGCTCTCGACAAAGGCGCCAACGTTCACATTCACGACGTATGCACATCCGCTCTCGCAATGCGTGTCGTGTCGTGTCGTGTCGTGTCATTGGGCGCGTGTCGTGTCGTGTCGTGTCATTGGGTGCGTGTCGTGTCGTGTCGTGTCATTGGGTGCGTGTCGTGAGTGTCGCACGTCTCACGAAAGTTGTTTGCCAGCAATTTGAGTCGTCGTCGGGGTTCATGTTCCTCTACGACGTCACGAGCCGCGAGACCTTCGCCGAAGTGATGCGCGTGCACAGCCTCATCGTGCGCTCCAAGAACGTGGAGAAGGGCAAGGCCAAGGGCCTCATACCCATGATCGTCCTCGCCAACACGCGCAATAGCTTCCAACACCAACAACGCCAGCCGGCCCAGCCACCACCCGGTGGTGACTCGCCCAGCTCGCACCACCCCATGGTCTCAGTCACTGCGCCCGACGGGTCTGATGCCATCGCCTCCATGAGCGGCGTCAGCGGCGTCGCAGTGTCGGCCAGCGGTGATTCGGCGACGGCGACGACCACCCAGAGCCCGGAGAGGGAGGTGACGACCGAGGAGGGACTCGAGTTCGCCTACGCGTGCAATTGCCCGTTCTACGAGATTTCATCGACGACCAACTACGCCGACGTGCTCAACGCCTTCCAGCAGCTCCTGGGCGAGATCATCAAGGGCCAGCGCACCAGGAAGGCCGCGGCCGACCCGGCCTCCAAGCTCACGCAGCTGGGGGTCAAGGGCAACTGGCGCCGGTCCCAGCTGGCGTCGCTCGTCTCGTCGGCCTCGTCGCCGTCGTCGTACGGCGTGTCGCCGCCGCTCTCCCCGCCGCTCTCGCCTCTGTCGTCGCCGCCGCCGCAGCCGCGAATCGAACCCGTCCTGCCCGGCTCTGCCCGGGGCGTCGATGACGACTCAGCGGCGGCTCGAGCCTTGGCGGCCAAGGCCCAGGGCGGCGGCGGCCTGCTGGCCCCGACCACCACCACTTCGTCGTCGTCCGAGGCCAAGGAGGAGCTCCACGAAAGCCTCAAGGACCGACAGAAGGCCTTCCGCTACACGCGGGTCGACGCCGCCGATATCAAATACCTGTACGCAGCCAATCCTTTGCTCCCAGCCGCGGATTCTGTCTAATGTGTTGTTGATCACGTGTCGCTTCTTCGTGTCGTGTGTCGTGTGTCGTGTCGCGCCATGTACGCGTGTGTCGTGTGCGTGCGGCGCTATTGTTACTAGGCCACCGCTGGACGCCGAGCCCAACTCCAAGCCGCGCATTCGGGCGGCCACGCTGCCAAAGCTCATCGAGAAGCTGACCTACCCCAAGTACCCCGGTACGGGTCTCCCGCACTATAATACTAATAATATTTATAATAATTTTCATTTCTATTTCCATTTATTGATAGTTTTAACATGTTTAATATTTGTGCAGACACGGATCTGGTGGCGACCTTCCTGCTCACCTACCGATCATTCACGACGCCGGAGGAGCTCCTTCACTTCGTCATGCGGCGCTACGAGACCACCGCGCCGGCCGACCTCGACAAGGAGGGCCTACGCCTGTGGGAGGCCAGCGAAATGCTCCCCATCCGGCTTCGGTACACCACTCGCCCGATCCGCTCTCCGTGTGCAGCTCTTCTCAACCGCACACGCACACACCGCACACCGCACATACCGCACAGAGTTATCAACGTGCTCAAGAGTTGGATTTCGGACCACTTCTACGACTTCTACGACAGCAAGACGCTGCTCGACACGCTCAAGGACTTTGTCGACAAACAGCTGAGCGTGCCCACCAACCTGAAGGGTCCGCTGCAGCAGCTCAAGAAGTCGATCGAGACCAACGAGATGGAGCGACGGGCGCGCAAGGAGTACATGTTCTCCAGCAAGCCGCCCAAGTCCGTCATCTCCAAGAAGGTCGCCAAGGCCAAGCCGCAGGAGATCGATCTACGCGACATCGACCCAATCGAGGTGTGATTCTGTTCGCTGTGTCGTGTGTGCGTGTGCGTGTGCGTGCGTGCGTCGTGTGTGCGTGTTGTGTGTGTCGTGTGTGTCGTGTCAATCGTTGAACGCTAACCGGCGAAGCGTAACAGATGGCGCGTCAGCTCACGCTGATCGACTACGACCTGCTCAGTCGCATCACAGCCAAGGAGTGGCTGGCCCACAACGAGTGGGCCACCAACAAGGCCAAGAAGAGGGACGACGAGTCCAAGCCCGCCGCGCCCAACCTCGTCGCCATGATAAACCACTTCAACTGCGTACGTCACCCCCCCCCGGACCAGCCCCAAACGTTGTATGCCGACTCGCGTGTGTCGTGTGTCGTGTGTCGTGTGTCGTGTGCCGTGTGCCGTGTGCCGTGTGCCGTGTTTCCATGTTCCGTGGGCACGCAGGTGAGCAAATGGGTGGCCACCGAGATCGTGAAGTGCGCCAAGATCAAGCACAGGGTCCTCCTCACGAAGAAGTTCATCGAAGTGGCCCAGGTGCCTCTTCCCTCTCAGTCCCCCAGAGGCAACTCTGTCACTGAATGCTAACGCGTGCTGTCGTATGTGTCGTGCTGCGTGTGTGCGTGTGTGCGTGTGCGTGTCGTCCGAGCAGCACTGCCTCAAATTGAACAACTTCAACATGCTCATGGCCATCGTCACGGGCGGTCTCGGCAACGTGTCCGTTTATCGACTCAAATACTCGTGGAAGGTACGGAAGGCGCTGGGCGCTGGGCGTGCGATGAGTCAAGAAGGGCTTGAAAACCAACCTAATTTAATATTTATTATTATTATTAACATTGTTATTTATTATTATATTAACTTGTTGGTGGCGTTTCATGCAGAGCCTGCCCAAGAAGACGCTGATCGCGTACGAGGAGCTGCGGATCCTCTGCGACTCGCTCTCCAACTTCAACAGCCTCCGCACCGCCATCCGGACCTCAGTCCCGCCCACCATCCCCTATCTCGGTACAATCACTGTATTTATTTATTTCTTATTTTTATTGTATTTTATTCATTCGCTCACCATTTGTATTACATTATATTAATTATATTAATTGTATTTATTTATTTAATTTGAAATGCAGGATTGTATCTGAGCGATCTGATGTACATCGAGGACGGCAACGCGGACGAGGTGGAGGGCGGTCTGATCAACTTTGAGAAGCGGCGGCTCAAGGCGGAGACCATCAAGGACCTGCAGCACTTCCAGACCTCGCCCTACTGCCTCACCGAGATCCCCGTGCTCCAGTACTACTTCCGCAGCCTGGACCACCTGAGCGAGGCCGAGCTCTACCGCATGTCGTGCCTGCTCGAGCCCCACTCGCGCCAGCGCGGCGCCTCCATCGTCAACGCGCCCTCACGAGGGTACCCTCCCCCTACACGCGCACACACGCACACACACACACACACACAGCGCCATCTTGACCATTCCCTCTGACCCCGTGTGTGCGGTGTGTGCGGGTGCCGTGTGTGCGCACACCAGGATGGCCGACCAGCTGAGTGCGTCGGGGGCGCTCGATCTGCTGGAGTCGTCCGACGGCGAGATCCAGGTGCGGAGGGACTCCAAGCCGGACTCGACCCAGCCGGACGGG